AATTTTCTCTTTCCTGTTTGGTAGACACAAGAGCGGATGGTGGCAAGAGCAACTGGGCCCTTTAGCCTGGCTCAGCCTCGTGGTGGTCACAATGGCCTGGCCACTGGTCCGGACCTGCACAGCACAGTGGCACTGCATTTAAGGAGGCACCCTTCATGCACAGCCTGTAAAAATTTGTTTATTGATTAAAATAGTTGCCTGGCAGATGGCAGTACAGTGTCTTAAGGAAAGGGTGTCCTATTCCAAATCGCACAGAGACACTCTGCCAGTAGGGAGGGGACCCAAGGGTGCCCCCAGGGCCTCTGCCTTTTGGGTGTGGCCTGTTAACAAACGGGGACTGCTGGTCTCACCTGGGTCCCTTGCCTTGAACCTGCTCCTCTCAAGCCTTACATTAAAGCTCAGCGCAGCGGCCTTTGTAGGCAGCTTCCTAACTCATACGTATGTCACCTTGTTGGCCAAAGTTCTGCCGAAATAATCAGGAGGCCAATTTTAATCAAGAGCCTTACAGGCGCTGGAACACTGTGCCGCTGATTAAGCTCAAGGACTTACTGAGAGCCTGCTGTGACCCAGCCTCCTGGGCCAGATCCGAGGGGAGGTGCAGGCGTGGGAGAAGGGCTCCAGGCCTGACAGGGTGACCGCCTCTTTGAGAGACAAGACATCTGGGGAGAACGTACAGCAGTGAAACGCAAGCAGCTCCCCGAAGCCCTCCGTGTTCTCTCTCCCTTATCTGGGGCAGCGAGGGGGTCTGGGCCGGCTGGAGAGAAAGGAAGCAGTAGCAAAGGAATTCCATAACATCACACCAAGTTTCAGGTTTCTGATGTTAATGTTTAAGGGCTTTGGTGATGTGAATTTCGCTTTTTCTAAATCCTAGAAAGAGTCTCATCTTCAGCAAAGATCTGCAGATGGGTTTTGATGCCATTTGCCACATTTTAATTAAATCCATGCAATTTATCACTTTTACACCAGATTCGCACTCCAGTGCCATTAAAAACTGATTTGCCATTTGCTGCTAAATTAAGACATTTCGTTTTCCTACTATATGTGAGTTTTCTTTTCATAGACAAGTGATGACACAGGGGCCATCAGACCCTGCGCAGATGGGAAAATGCCATCGAAACCCCTTAGAGAGCCCCAAACTGAGAAATTTCACTTTATTCATTATCAAACCTTATCGAAGGCTTATCAAAAGAGGCTCAGAGGCCATGAATGGGAAATATGAAGAAGATATCTATGGAACACCTTGCTTATCGAGGTTCTGAGAAATTCCCATTAAAATTCAGCTCTCCGTGTGTGTAAATGAAAAAGACTCATTTAATTTTAATTTGTGCAGATTGAAGTCTGAAAGCAGCACACCCCCTAAGCAGGCAGCAGTAACTTGATCCTCCATGCTAACCTAATTATATCAGAATCCCTCTGATGGGGACCCAGGGCTGCCTTTGATGTTAAATTCCTGTTGCCTTTTATCCCCATTCTCTGGGCAAGGTCTCCTCCACACCTTCCCGTCCTGCAGGATCATAAAGCGATTGCTTTTGAAGCTCAGTTTTATTTTGATGGAACACCAAGGGATTGCAAATTATTTTTCACTGAAGGAGACTGATTTCGGTTTGAAAACTGCTGGAGGAATTCTAAGCTTGACACAAGACAGTATACCCAACACCAAAATGGCGTCTTTCCTTCACAAAGGTTTCCCACGGGTGGGAGAACCTGCTCCGCGCACTCATTACACCTGAGATCCCCCGCTGACCTGCCCCAGTGGGTTTGCCCAACATGTTCCTTACCCTCTTGACAAAGCATTATTTACCCCTGGGCTCACTCAGGGCTCAGCTCCAAGGGGGTCTCACCTTTCGCTGGTAATAGATAAAGTGAAACACGATGACATTTTCAATAGGCCATTTGTTAACATCTTGCTGTGCTGAAAGCTGCGGCCGGGTACCTTCTCCTCTAGATCAAATTTAGATGATGACTTCCTGGAGCAGCCCACAGAGGAGCAGACATCCGAATCACCCCCACGAGGCTGCCCTGCGCTCTGATTCCTCCCAGCGAGATGTCGAATGTACCACACTTAAGATGAAGGCCGAAGGTCACTGGTTCCACTTAAAGGTTTATTGGGCGGGTGAAACAAAAGGCTCCAAGTAAAAGCTAAGTACAAGTTCGACCTATGAAAACCTCTTCTAAACCACTTTGCTCCCTTTAACCAGGTCCTCAAGTGACTTCCGATAATACCTCTCTCTCTTACCAGGTTGGCACACAGGCTTACTGAGACAATGCAAGTGAAATATTAATCACTGGGTCTGTCGGTAAGATTCCATTCAGTAAAAGTAGTGCTTTGTTAACATCTACGGAGAGTGAAAAGACAGAGGCTGCCCTGGCTAAGGCAGACCTGAAGATAGGAGTCTAAAGACCAGCTGACCAACATTCAGAATGCAAGGAGATCCAAACCAGAAATCTTTTCCACTGGTAATGTTACCTGGTTAATTCAACAACTTAATTCAAAGTATGAGTGATTTGATACATTAGCTGTTCACCAAAATAGATGCCCTATGTGCTCTTCAATAAAAATATCAGAAAATCAAAATCAACTTAATTCATCCTTTTTTCTAATTCCCCTCAAATGAATGAGGTGATACTCAATAAACACAATGCACATCATTGAAAGACAGTAGGAGAAGTAATTGGAAGAAAAAAGAGAGGGTTATGCAAAACACACAGAGGAAAATCCAAAGACTCAGGAAGCCTTCAAGCATGGGATGCGGGATAAACAACTTTCTAAATTCTTTCTGGCCAAAACAGTACCATGACTAGCAACTGGCTCAGAAATCTGCTTTGGACAAATTGCATCATATGTCAGGGCTAAGTACATAATAGGTTAACAGAAAGAAAAAAAAAGATTCATCATAGCCCTGACCGCTGTCTCAGTTGGTTGGAATGTCATCCATACACTGAAAGGTTTCAGGCTCAATCCCAGTCAAGGCACATGCCTAGATTGTGGGGTCAATCCGCTGTTGGAGCAGGTACGAGAGGCAACTGATTGATGGCTCTCTCTTACAACGATGTCCCCCCTCCCCTCCTCTCTCTAAAATCAATAAAAAGATATCCTCAGGTGATGATTTAAAAAAAAGATTCATCATAAGATAGGTTTTGGCCAAGCATCAACTCCACCACTTCCAATATATGACTCACATGTCACCTTAAAGGTATATTTCCTCCAGATGAGTTCAAAACTTTTGCACCTCATTTAACAAGCTTTTCTTAAAACCACAAACACCATGCTAGATGTCACGGGCAGAAACACAGAAATAGCAACTGGAATTGGAGGGAGAAGACACCCAACACAATGTAACTCACATCTCATGGATCTGTACATTGCCCCTGAAGTTAAGTAGGTAGCAAGAATATTTATATCTCACAAGAGAAAATATGACCAAGACCCTGAATTTTCATAATTTGTTCAGACATATTGAGCAAGGGATAGACTGATACCAGTATCCAAGTCTCCCAAAGTACATTGGCAGTGTCTAGGCTGCACAGAAAAGACGTAAGTGGACCGTGAACATGGTGTTGAAATGTCTGAAGGCTTGGGCTGTTATTGTCCAAAGATAACAGGTCAAATATTCTTGGTTCAAATCCCTAGAGAATGAATCCAGAATTCATCCCGTCTTATTTCGAGGCGCCCACTCATACCAACTAATCTCACATGCTGGAAATAAACACGGTCACAACGGGGGGGGGGGGGGACACGCATCTGAAGGGCTGTTATGTCCATTTACCTGAAGAATAAGGTGGACATTGCAGGTGCATTGATTTTGACTCAATACAAGGAGGGACCGTCTAGCAATGAGAGTTGTTCAAATGTGGGAATGTATTGCCATAAGGACACAGTACCTCTCCATCTCTAGAAACGTCAAATAGAAAAATAATGAAATGACTTCCTATGAAGATTTAGGAGAGGATGACCTGTTAGGTAGCTACTAAAGCATTCCAAGCAAGAGAAGGTGAGGCCTGAATTAGTACAGCACTAGTGGTAGAGACAGGAAGGAAAGGGCAGATGAAGATGACCGAGCCACTAGCTCCCAATACGGAAGCATGAGAGAGAAGGTTTGTGGAGGAAGACGTAGAGCCTGAGATTCTTGTGGGCCATCTGGATGGAGTGGCTCTGGGGTCCAGGTGCCATGGAAATTGCTGCATAAGAGATGCAGCTTGAGAATTCTCTGTGTAGAGGGGGTATCTTCTCTCATCAGTCACCTATGAGATACGTATGGAGGATTTAGGAGAAGAGGGCTCGAGGATGCTGGCTTTAAGAGGTAGTCTAGAAAGAGAAACTAAACAGGCATCTTGGTCTGTGCGGGCTGCTATAACAGACTGGATGACTTAAACCACAAACATTTATTTCTCATAGTTCTGGAGGCTGGGACATTTAAGATCAATGCTCTGGTGGATTTAGTCTCAGGTTCATAGATCAACCTCTTTCTGTTGTGTCCTTACATAGCAGAAGGGGCGAGAGAGCTCTCGGAGGTTTCTTTAATTAGGGCATTAATCTCATTCATGTGGGCTCTACCCTCATGACCCAATCACCTCCCAAAGAGCTCGCCTCCTAATACCATCACATTGGAGGTTATTCATATGAATTTGGGAGGAACACAACATATGAATTTGGGGGGAACACAAACATTCAGTCCATAACAGCAGGGTAGGACTGGTCAGGAAGGATTCAGGAGAACAAGTAGAATGTGGTGTCCTAGAGGTTGAGAGCAGACTTTCAGGAAGGAATGGCCAATAATGTCAAGTGCAACAGAGACTTCCAATGAAATCAGCATTGGACAGCATCCACTGGACTCGGCAAGGTTGCCAGTGGGGTCAGGGGTGCAGAGGGGCCAATGGGAAATGAGTAAACAGAGGCTGTGTTAACCAGCGTTGAGAGGAGGCAGACAGGGACCAGGAAGGAAGACATAGAATGAGGATTATTTTTAGAAAGGGAAAGAGTGGAACATGTTTATAAGCCAAGAGGAAAGTGTTGGTCAAGAAGGACTGATGATCCCTGAGGAGTCTGAGAAGAGGGTGGTCATGGGCACAGATGCAGGTCCCGCCTTGGTGAGGGAGAGGGACACTTCATCCTTGGAGGCTGGAGGAAGGAAGCGGAGGTCATGGATATGGATATAGCTGTAGCTTGTGGGGGCAGGAGTGGGGATGGAAAAAATAGCACGCCTGATGGTCTTCGCTGGTGCTGTGAAGTAAGAAAGAATCTTATGAGTGTTGGAGAAGATAGTGCTTAGAGAGAAGGTGAAGGGAGGGAGGTAGGAATGAGCAGAGCAAGGACAAGCAGAGCTGATGGGAGGTTTCATGAACATGGGCATGAGTTAGGGAGATGCTGTTTATTCATTTGACACACAAAGGGACCAATCCCCAAATCCTCGCCCCACGTCCCATCCAAACTGTTCTCTGCCCCACACACAGCCTGCACCACCTGTTCCCCCACCGCCTCTCTGGTCTCATCTCCTCCCACTCCTCAGCTTCAGCCAATGCCCTTTCTCTCTTCCTCATGCCTCTTCTACCTACTGTTCTTTCTTTCAGTTGCTGTTCAGTGTTACCTCCTCCTGGCCCAGGACCGAGTTAAGTGCCTCTGCCCGGGGTCTCACAATAGGCCGTGTGTTCTTTGCTTTGCACCTACCACGTACCTGGGAGAGAGCTGCCTGCATGGCCACCTCCTCTACTAAACCCAGAATCTCTCCTTCAGGGCAGGACCTCTCGCTCTGGCTCCCCAGCACTCAGTAGGCCCTCAATACACATGCTGGGCGAGGGGTGGCGGTGGGGAATGAGCAGGTGAATTCCGGGTGGGAGGCTGGCTGCGTGGTCCCTCCAACCCCATCTTACTAAGAATCTAGGATTCCAGCTTGTTGGTTCTTTGTGCATTACTGCTTTTGTAAAAACACACATGTATTAGAGGGGACATAGGGGAGAGTTGTTCTCCATACGAACAAGAAGACTAATCATAACTCTTTCATAAGCCAGAAAAATAAGCTGTGACATTCTCATGGTCAGAGCCAGATTCCTCAGCAGCTCCCGGGCCTGTGGACAGACATGAGGACAGAGATGCCTCAGTGACGTCCAACCCCATGAGGCCTTCCTCTCTCTCCTCCCCTCCAGGTCAGCCTGAGTCTCCTCTGCTGTGCTGGGGAATCCACAATATACACCAGCTAGAAGCCCCCGAGCTGTCCTTGACAGCATCTAAGACACAGAGACGGCAGAGGTCCTCAGGTGCTGTGGCCTCTCACAGGGCGGGCAGAGCAGGAAGAGCCCTGTGGCCTGAGCGCCCGGCTCTCCAGGGTCTGGCACGGGCCCACTTCTCCGGAGTCCTGGAGGTGCTGAACCCGCTAACAGACTTTTCCCAGGATCCCAGGCTCCTCTCTGCTTTCCACCCACATCTCTCCAACAAAAACAAAGGCCTCGGCCGGGATCCAAGCTCCAGGGTCTGTGGGGAGGGGGCACTGGGACACAGCCCCTGTCCTTCCCCGTTGCTGAAACCAGATCCCTGAAGCTCCCAGAGGCCAAGAGCATGCATGTAGGTCTCTTCAAAAAAGCTGTGCCGGGCTTTTGTTGGGAGGGCAGGAAAGATAACCGAGTAACTAGCAGCCACCAGGAGGAAGGGCCGAGTCACTTGGAAAGACAATTCCCCGGTAGCTTTTTGCACTGATGGTGCATCAGCCCCACTGACAAAGGCAACTTAGGCCACTTTCCACACGGAGATGTGTCACTAGTGCCCACGCTGTCACAACAGCAGACGGACCAAAGGACCCATCACAGGGAGGAGAAGTGGGACCTTTGCTCCACCACACGCACTCCAACAGGCAGTTTCTAATAAAAACAAGTTCCAGGGACCCAACCCTCCAGGGATGGGCAGACGGGACACCTGGGTATTCAGAGAAGCTCAAAATATTTTTTTTCAGGGGAAAGGAAAATGATTTCAAGTTAAACAAAATAAAACAACAGGAACAGGACGATTTAAGCTCTTCCCACGATACAGCACTTCCTGGCTGCCAAGGGCAGTGAAATCTACGTGTAGGAAAGTAGATGCTTTAAATCCACAGCCTCCTCACCAGGACTTCTCGTTGCCAAGACCACTGCCTATGGACTTAACGACCGGTTAGCCCAGACTTGCTGATTCATTTATCCACAGACTCTATACTCTAACTTCACGCTCTTTCAGAAAAGTGGCTATTCTGCCCTGGGAAGGTAATTTGTGTCTCTGAGGTTCCCTTGAAGTTTCCTGACTCAACCACACCAACCTTCGGCAGGAGGAGCCAATGATAAGGCGGCAAATTTCAGCTCCCATTCCCTTGCCTCTATCAAGAAAAATCAGAGACACGAGGGACCAGAGAAGTGGAGTTTGTTCCCATTGCCAGCTGGGAAATGTCATACACCGAGCTTCTCACCGGATTCCTGCTGTAGCCCACTAGGAGGCTGCAGGCGGTCCTCCCACTGCCTGCAGCGGGGTTACCTGTCCTACAAACCTCGGAATCCTAGAGCTTCCCTGAAGTCTCGCCTGAAAACCAAGATCCACACGATTCTTTCCCAACTAAACTGGTTCTCCATTAAATGATTCTGGTCAGGTAGTTCTTCTGAGCCTCAGTTTCTCTTCTGTGGAAAGGGGTAAACTGTTGCCCTGCCCGGGCCAGAGAACTGGTTTTGACACTCCAGTGAGACAACTTGTGAAGGAACTCAGACACTGGAAAGCCTTTTGCAAACATACAAATTCTAGGAACCCTAACTCTAACCCTTACCCTAACGATAACCCTAATGATAACCCTAATGCACAGTAAGTCCTTCAAAGGCAGGAACCAGTTGTCACTCAATTGTCATTTATCACCCCCTTCAGCAGAGTGCTCACATGTGGGCAGGGCTACTGCATTTGACATTTAGGGACTTTGGTACTTGACTGCGCTCCCCTAATATTATGGATCAGGAGTATCTTCATTTTAAACTCTTCTCCATTGGGCATAAACAGAACACCCTTTCCTTTTCTCACCCAGATCCGGGGGGCCTTCAGTGCGATGACTGCCGCTGTGAACATGCCTGGATGCTAAAGTCACGCCCCTCAAAGTGGCTGCAATATCTCGTCTCTGACTCCACTCATTGAGGGCCAGCAACGACGAGGTACCCTTTCTCCTTCTCTCTGTTCTTGGCTTCCCACTTAATTCCTTTCCAGGGCCTTTGTATACATGTCCACATGAGGCCCCTAAATACATTTTAAATTTTGCAAAATCTCAGCTAAAAATATCTTGTTCCCTGCAAGCGCCCTGCAAGTGTGATTGGTCTCCTATGTAGCGAAGGAGCTTTTATATTTTTAGTTTTCTTCCCATACAACAAACACTATTAATAACATTCTACTTTCTCCAGAGATGATATAGATTAGACCAAATGGAAAGTTACCATGGCTACCGTAGTGTTATTTTGGGTATGAGAAATTCATGCCGGGGAAGCGGCATCCATGGTCAAGAACTGGAGCTTTATTTCCGCTTTGCTATCGGGCAATCAATCCCAATTTAATTTTGAAACTAATTGCAATGGAAACTAATTATAAGCAGCAAGACCTGAAACCCCTAATTACAGTGGAAGTCAATAAAGTGAGGCGGCATTATCATTGGAGCAATGTTGGCAGGAGGAGGGATTTAGGCACAGGTGGACTTCCTTCCCCACGCAACTTTCTAAGCAAAACAAGACGGGCAAACACATCTGAGGGATCAGTGGGAAACCCTAAGTTGGGTTTGAAGGCGTCAGTTTCTGGTGAGGGAGCAGGTCAGGCCCTCTCTCTGGGCTATGAAGAGGCAACAAGCTGGGGCAGGGATACAAAGCCCGGATGGAAAGGAGGTATTTCTATCAGCAGTTAACCACCAGGGAGGCCACGGTGGGGAGGCGGGGAAGGGCTAAGCTGAAGGAGGCTGGTCCGGACTAACCCCATAGATCACTGCGTCCCTCTCAGGCCTTGGAGGGCACACAGCAGAGGAGCAGGGGGACCCAAACAGAATCTCATCCCTCAGACCCAGATATTTATGGGCTGTTTCCTCACATACCAGATGCTGAGTCATACTTTTCTGAATTAGCAGCAGTTGGCTTATGAAAGGCCTTCTATTAGAGTAAAAACCTACTGCCAATCCCTGAAGTGCACGCGTCCCTTGGGGACCTCCCGGTCTATGTTTGACAGCTTTAAAATACTGCTAATGGCATGACTTCATCTGCCCCAGGCCAGAAGCATCCATATTTAGGTCAGAAACCACATGGTCCTCACATCACCCCCCAGGCTCCAGGATAGAAAGGGGCTCTTACATCAGGGAGAGAGCACTTTTAACCAGTGATTGATTACTCACTCGCCTCCAAATTCCATGACAAAGGGACAAAAATGAACGTTGCTGCCTGGTGGAAAGCGACTCTGACCACTGCAACAGCGCAGCAGTCAGAAGCCTGCCCTCTGCTCACTGAGCGTAGATTTTTCTACAAAGACCCCCGTTACAGGGTCTTTCTCCCTTTTACTTGTTTTCCTGTTACATTTTCCTGATTTTTAAAAAAGCATTTTTGAGAAGAAAGAAGCAGAAGCTGGTAACCCTGTTGTAGCGTTTTCAACAGCACTGCCTGCGTCGGTCCCTCCGGAGAGGGGCTCCGCGTCAGGGTGGAAGAATTCCTTGAGAGCTCCCAGGCTCCTGTCTCCCACGAAGAAAGGAGGCCCAGTCACCCTGGGGCACAGGACTTTCCCAAGGCAGACAAACCCCAAGTCGGTGGGAGCCGATATTCATCCTAATTCTTAGTGTTGTCATAAGCGGGCAACAGAGACATACAGGCCTCGTCCTGAATTAGTCAAATGAGGTTCGTTGACTATTTTCATCAAAATAGTGTACTGACATATTACGCAAAACCTTTGGCACTGGTCTTGTAACCAAGGTTAAAAATGGGAGCAGTCAGAAAAAAGACAGCTCTGAAGACAGAAATGTTTTGAAACCTGGCTGCAATATGAAAGGAGATACCTGGCAGTCTCTCTACATTATATATGTTATTGACATAATGGACCCGCAGGTTAAGCCGAGAGAGGGGCTCCGCCACCTCACATTTATTATGAACGAGGGGAGAGAGAAACAAAGAGAAAGAAGAGAAACAGCTTGGTCTTATTGAGCTACTTTGGTATAAAATTTCTGCCCAAGGAGACTGCAAGTGTCCTGAAACACAGAGCTTTGTCCC